CTCACTCGATCCAGCAAGGAAACACGCGTGTCAGGGATTAATTAAGATAGATGCAATAAACTGTAGACGAACAGTGCGAAACTAGTATCTAATTAGTCTGAGCGCTTTCGACTCTTAATGAGTATTTTTCAAAGGCAAGTACAAAAGCCATACAAAGCAAACAAATAAACACAAAAACTTTGTGTTTGTAAAACTCTTTATGGCTGTTTCTACACGAGTTAAACCTATAGATACATTGTCTCAACCAGCCTTTATACATCATATATTTATATATATATATTCTATTTTGTTTATACCAGGCATGTCGCTACAAGTCTATACAGGCTGGTTGAGACAATGTATCTATAGGTTCAACCCAGGTCTCTTGTGTTTTCAAAGCAGATGGATTCCCAATAATTAGATCTATTACGAAATGGTTCTCTATTTCCGGTTGTCATTGATTTTTACTCAGTCTCTAAACGTCATTGGTTTCCGGGGGTGGGGAGGAGGGAGGCAGTAGTCTCATCTAACAGGATTTGTATGAACTCTATTGTACAGTATATAAATATATCCATTTAATTTTGTCCCGACCCCGAATATAGCTTGCCTTGTTTGACTCCTCTCATCTCTGATGTACTATAATCTGTCTGATATTTCCTTTTATTCTAAATTGATCATTCACTTTATAGCTTTTATTACTGATGATTGTTATCTAATTAGTGCAGCCTTTTGCTTATTTCCTATAGCCCATTTCATACCGGATTTAACCGAGTTGCTCCGTAATTATCCGAAAAACCTCACTTTATACTCCAGCCAATCAAACGCTAGTAGGCATCTGTACAGAACAAAATGGCATGCATTGTTGTTTAGAGGTATCAGATTAAAACAAATTAAGAAATGCCCGCTACCTGCCCGCTAAATGCCTCGGACTTCTGCAGCTTTACCGTCGAGAAATATTCCAGGTTTGTTATACTACGGATTAATGCGAAAAATTTCTTTTATTGGTAAACGAAATTCGATTTATGAAATGCGATGTTATGGTAAAAAAGGGATTAAATTTTTAACATCGACACCGTTTCTATACTAACATGTACATGTCCATATGTAAACAGCTCATAGCTACTCTCTTGTATGGCTATAAAATCCAGAAAACAAGACAGGATGGTTCCAATATTAAATTTCATCAAGATCTATGGCATCATCACTGTTGAATAGGCATTTTTCAACTCTATAAACGCAACTGAAGTAGTCGGAACTGTTGATGCTAATGCTGAATTGTCCTCTTTGTTTTGACCACTAGTCTGGTCCCCAGCTTAGTATACTCCCAGCGATGCACTCCGCTATACTATACTAGGGAGCATACTAAGCAGGGAACCAGATTATTTGCCTACCCAACACGTGATCAAAATTCCGAGCAAATTAAGTTCGCCGAAGTCTCCATGAAATGGTCTATTTGCCGTACTAAAAACGAAAGAACTGTCAAAAGTGTTAAGGTCACGATCGGAATTATCAAGATTTAAGAAGCCTCGCTCATTTGAATTACTTTCATCGTTTTGTTTCTCCGAAAAAGAAATACATAATTACGCAGATAATCCCATTTTTTTATTATTTGCATAAAAATATTGCTATTCTGATGTCTCATAATAAACATTTAGTTTATTCATTTTCAAACCATTTTTCAATTATTTCTCCTTTTTTGTTCTTTTTTTTAACTCGTTTGAAGATTCCAAATGTCATTCAAGCATGAAATAGCATAGGGTTTTCCTCAGCTTTTGTTTCTAGTGTTTAATTAACTGACGTTGTATCTTCCACTGAAGTGGCGCTCGGTTTTCTTGAAACGTTGGAAAGCTGTTCTGTAATTGCGCTATCACCAATTTGTGGCGAAATAATGCGAACTAAAATTGATGTACTTTTTTCGAGTGTTAAGTTTCAGGAAATGCACTCTATAAAAAATCCGACGTACTTTACTTTCTACACCGCAAATAAATTGAACCATTGTTAGGGCATAAATTTGGCGACATATAGTCGTAACAGATTATTTCTAGGGTATATAAGGAGAGAACTGTGCAATCAAATTTATTTCTACTTTGGATTTGTTTCTATTTCGGATTCTTGTTCATATCAGTCTGCAAATGTGTTTAATGTTGTGTTTAGATAATCTGAGGAAACATTTGTAGGATTATTCACTAGAATTACAAAGTGCTCATTTACTAGAAGATTATTCTATGACTAATATGAATTATTCAAAGGAAGTCTGGACAATGTCATTGTGATTCGAGAATCTGAAATTCATTCAGATCATTCGACTCTTTTGGACTTGGAATGAAACGTTTAATAATTATTTTGGATTCAATTTATAATACTATACGTTCCTCTTATATTTTTATTGTATATCTTTGATAATTAAATTATTTGTTTATTTTACAAAAGCTGTTGGTTTTGCTACTTTCTGTTAGTTTATAACCTTAAAGTCGTAACACCATGAAAAGTTATTAAACAAATGTAAACTTGCTTTATATCTAAGAAATCAACATTTGTATATCACATGTACCCGAGTGTTGTATAACAATGTTTTTGATACTTCGCCTTCATGTTCATAATGACTGCTATGTTCTTAGTACTCTACAATGTGTAGTAATTTTTTAATGTTTAAAAATAGATTGTATCAAGGGATCTCTCTCTCTCTCTCTCTCTCTCTCTCTCTCTCTCTCTCTCTCTCTCTCTCTCTCTCTCTCTCTCTCTCTCTCTCTCTCTCTCTCGCTCGCTCGCTCGCTCGCTCATCGAATAAGCCACTAATATTAATGAATGAAAATAAAAATAAATAAATAAATCGCATATATACAGATTCTCATTCAGTTTTGTATATTAAAATGTGTACTCTTCATATAAAAACGGGTCGATTTATTTGTTTTGTCCAGTGAAAATAGATTTCCTCATATAATGGATATTCAATGATTACCGATTATTCTCCTATACAAGATTATAATATAGCTGTACATAAACAATACAGATCAATTATTAAAAGTTTTCAACAAAATATTTTCTTATTGCCTTTTGCAAATATTAATAAAAGCCGAATCAATATATTTGACTTTGGAATTTATTGACAGACAAAATACATCGACCACGCATCTTCAAGTGCGTAGGCCAAACAAATGTGTGTTTCTGAACTGTCTGGTCAGCCGACCGTCCCTGTTTCTCAATGCCGACCCTAGCACTTTTTGCTCGCATGTTAACCCACACCCACACAAAAAATCACATTTAACATATAATGATGTAAAAATACCTGCCTACTCTAAGTTTAAAGGCAATGCAATAGAAAACTACATTTTCCTTTTTATAAATTTATGTCAACGTTGTCGTATCGAAGTGACTTACCTGTCTTATTAAATAAACATAGCTTCTAGCGAATTCATATTTAGGTACGATTAGTTTTCATAATGATATAACGTTGTCGTATCGAAGTGACTTACCTGCCTTATTAAATAAACATAGCTTCTAGCGAATTCGTATTTAGGTACGATTCATAATGATATAACAGCTGATGCAGAAATCCTGACTGGTCTTAACTGCTACATTTACTAATGGGTCGTTCAAAACAATATCGACTGAGTCGATGACGTTCTGATTACTATTATCCATTTAAAAGTAGGAAATAGCCTATAAACGAGCATGTATTAATTATTGCCACACTAATGAATGGCAATTTAAAAATTAAGCGCTTTGTGTGGTACATAAATCCACCTATTGATATCGTTCAATAAAACTACCTATTCTGAAACGTTAGGGGGTGCTGTAGATTACTTCGTCTGAATTAATGCCTGCAGCGTATTTTGGAATCTTGGTGATCGGCATACGTGCGAGATTCAACAGCAAATTTAAGTAGAGACGAAGATACCAGTGAGTGAAAAAGAACCTCTCCGGTCCCAACTTTCACACTCGGGTTCGAAAAGATGCTATAGTGAGAGGTTGCTGATCCGGCTTGCTCATGTTTCCTTCAAAACTGTTCCATATATATCATCGTTAGACAGAAACAGTACCGTGACTGTGTGGGACATAATGCTATATATCTGCGGCATGATACCAAAGTGCAGGACGTTACTATAAGCTGCCACACTAAAGAGGTAGCGATGATTGAAAATTTGTTAAAGCTACATTAAAAATCTAAATCACACACACACAGACATACACACACAGACATACACACACTTCTCTTTTTGGCAGCGCAGACAGTGTTACAATGACTGAAATCTGTTAAAACTACGTTAAAAATCTAAATCCACACACACACACTTCTCTATTTTTGGCAGTGCAGACAGTGTTACAAAAAAATAACACAACTTTTCTTCTTTGTTTTTGCCAGCTTTTGCATCCTCGACATAGAAAAGCAAAAATAACAATGTAAATTGTGATCAGATATTCTAGTATTTTTAGCGACATATGGTCGCCAAGCGTATGCTATCTGCCTGCGTATGCATCATTTCCATTAGTTGCAAACAAGACGTTAACATGATAATGCAGTCAAAATGTGGATTTGAGATATCCGCATTGTTTTATTCTTCAGCTGAAATTGATGATTGTTTCAGTGTCTCAAAGCCAACGAATGTTTTTTTTTTTTTAAATCGTGAAAACAAACTTTCATCCAAGACCACCGCATTTTCCCAAAGGCTGAACAACTGTTGAAATTTTATCAGTATCCATGCTTTTAAATGTGGCTAGAAAGAAAACCATTTTCAGGCTGCTCCCTGATTATTTTTAAGTTTGTGAAAATATAAATTCAGCTGGAAAAAGGTCCAAAACAAAACATTTTTCCAAGATCAAATTGTGTTTTCTGTTAGACTCTTCTTGACCAAATAAGTTAATAAAAAGTTCAAACCACTAAATGCAAAAGAATGACTTCACACGTTACCAATTTTCTCATTTCTTTATTATTTTGTTTCTATTTTTTAAACTGTGGCGCAAACTACGATTTCGTTTTGATTGGATATTATTTGACACTTTATACCAAACTAAAGACGACCGCTCCATTTGGCCTAGTGGTAGGAGCGTCCGCCTCGGAAGCGATAGGTCGTGGGTTCGATCTCTAGCCAAGTAATATTAAAGACTAACAATAATGGTAAAAACAATAAGCATGGCGCTCAGCATTAAGACTGTTAGGACTGGTCGGCCTGGTGTCAGGACAATGTGACTGGGTGGGACATAGTGCTAACATTTTTATAAGTCTTTGGTATCACTCGGTCGGGGATGGAACCCACGACCTCTCGCATACGAGGCGACGCTCTTAACACTATGCCACTTGAACAGTCTATTTTAGTCGTTTTTATACCAACATACTGTATACGTCATCACTGTAATTTATGCATCGTTGTATCAACATACTTGATACCTAATGACTATTTTAGTCATCATTATATGAACATACTGGATGCGTCATGACTAATTTAGTCATCATTGAACAAACATACTAGATACGTCATGACTATCTTGGTCATCATTGTATCAGCATACTGCATAAGTCATGACTAATTTAGTCATCATTGTACCAACATACTGTATACGTCATGACTATTTTGGTCATCATTGTACCAACATACTGGATACGTCATGACTATCTTGGTCATCATTATACCAATGTACTCGATGTGTCATGACTTAGTCATCATTGTACAACATGCTGTATACGTCATGACTGTAATTTAGTCATCATTATATCAACATACTGGATGCGTCATGACAATTTTAGTCATCACTGTATCAACATACTGGATATGTCATGACTAATTTAGTCACCACTTTATCACATAGTCGGTACACTTTGCCTACAGTGTGTGCAGTTTCATATTTTTTTATATCATTCGTGTGAACATATTACTTTATGTGGTTCTGATTGGTTTAAATAGGCCCACTGTGCGGTTTACTCTTTACTGATTGGCTTCGATCGTGGGAAACCTTTTGTAAACCCGCCTTCTGGATTTTTTGTTTTGTTTTCGCTGAACATTTTTGGACGCCAATTTTTTATTCGACCCGCGAAAGTGAATTGGGAAAAGGTCGTCCCGTCTGTTTCAATATTGCTAATTTACGCCCACAGGGGTTTGGTATGTCATGTATAACATATCGTAACACGCAAAAATGGCGAAACCCTCAAGACAAGAATAATAACAAGTACAACTACCGGTATTGCTTAAATGATGAAGTTGGGGTGGGTGGCGTGGAGATATAATTGCTTGGTTTAAATGTAAACTTCATGAAGTAAATATACTCACCTTAGTTTACAGAAGAATTTAAACATAAACTGGCTTTCCAACAGATATAACTGTATCCTATCACAACATATTTGTGAAGTAAAATATACGATACAAATTCGACTCCAACAGATTTGTTTACATCTTCTCTACAATCTAATATTCCAAATTAAATACTGCAAATATCCAGTCACAAATACGTTACAGCAAATATGTGTATTTCTGCATCCAGCAATCTTCTTTGCGCCAAAATTATCGCAACAATGTAATGTTTAGTCATGATGTAGAATTTCAACGTTAACACTAGCATTGAGTTGTGTAGGCCAGCTTAGACTGGTACAGTGCACCGTATCAAACAATGTGACAACACACACATTGGACAATGACAATTGTTTTATCTTTTGTAAAAATGTTCTTTTTATGGAAGCTTATTCTTTAGTTATCAAAAATTATAATATAATTTTACTATTTCAACTTTGAGACTATTCGTTTACGTGCAACAAATGAAAGGTACAATGTCTGTCAGAAAGAACTAGATTGTTGGTTCTTCTTTCTATCTAAATACTTTCTACTGAAATAAAACTAATAAAAAGAATCTCAAATGAGAAATGATTTAATATTAAATTTACGAAACACTTTAAATTCAACTCATTTCATAAAGTCAATATTAAATCGTGACCCATTCAAAGATCATTCTATATGTCAACATACTTTATACGTCATGACTATTTTAGTTATCATTGTATCAACATACAGGATACGTCAATACTGTATTTTAGTCATCATTGTATCAACATACAGGATACGTCAATACTGTATTTTAGTCATCATTGTATCAACATACTGGATACGTCAATACTGTATTTTAGTCATCATTATATCAACATACAGGATACGTCAATACTGTATTTTAGTCATCACTGTATCAACATACAGGATACGTCAATACTGTATTTTAGTCATCATTGTATCAACATACTGGATGCGTCATGAATATTTTAGTCATCATTTTATCATCAGTAGGATACGTCTCGACTGTATTTTGGTCATCATTGTATCAACATAATGGATCGATTGTATTTTAGTCATCATATATGTACACAAACTATTCAAAACTTTGTAAATATCTGTTCACTAACCTGACAAATAAACTGATTGCTGACATAAGTAACATTAAGAATTCAATTCTGATGCAATCATCTATCAATGTAAACATTACACATAAAATAGCACACACACACACACACACACACACACACACATCATAATTAATGGCTATATTCTGTCATGTCAGAGTCAACAAATAAAGAAATATCTCCTACCGAAGAGTGAGAGTGAATCTAACATTTAAATTCCTTTACATTACATAGAGACAATAACAACACAATTATAAAACATCATAATGAAGCTACTTAAAGGTAGCATTCCCTTTTAATCCAGCCATTAAACAGCACTTATAACAGTTTACCCAATTACTATGGAGACCGCAATATTTCTAGACCTTAAAAATGTCATCGTTCAGTCAGATTCAATATGGCATTGTTCTGAGGTTTTGGTGTTGGTCAGAACGGGTAGACGTGGACATAGGTCTGCACAAAAAGACTTTTAGCTTCATTTTGTGGGTCTTTTATTATCTTTTAATTTCAAATCTTGAACCTCACTAGTTTTGTCAAATACTTAGTTTCATTTTGAGTTGTTGTTTTTTTCTCATTATTTTTTATTCAAATCTTGAACCCAACTAGTTTTGTAATATGCCTTTCATATGTTGATGTGCCGGGAATATACATACATACATACATACATACATACATACATACATACATACATACATACATACATACATACATACATACATACATACATACATACATACATACATACATACATACATACATACATACATACATATGCTTTTATAGTGCTAAAAGTATGTGTTTGTAAAACATATGTCCAAGCAAACCCATTCTGACCACCACCACCTACCACCCAAACCGAATCTCTTAGATAAGTTCTTGTGTGCATATGTGTATTTTCCCCTTTTACGTTACAGCAGATGGGAAGTCTGATAGTTCCCAAGCAATGGTCTAACTCCTAAAAAATGGCACTAAAACCAAAGTCAGCTGCATTTATGATTTTTATCGCTCGTTGGTAATAAACCTTTGTCATACATTTTTATCACACAACATTTTGGGGTGCGCTATAAAGAATTACAGCGCTCTTGCACAATTAAATCAATAACCAACCAACCAGCTACACTGATGAATTTCATGTACGGTAAGCACATATCTGATTATGCTATGGGGATCTCAATTGTTGCCAAGTCAGGACCATGGGGCTTACACTAAGGGTAAGAATAGGCACAGCAATAACTATCAAATGTACATCTGAATTGTATATCATGAGCAGCAGGTATGGCGAACCCTACAACTTTTTGCTCCAGTCCGTACAAAAAAATAAGGGTTCCTACAAGGACTGAAAAACAAGGTCAATAACGTTAAACCGAAGCATCTAACTTGTCTATTTCCATACGGTTAAGAACCGATAATACGTCGTTTGGGTTAGCTCAGTTTTGTTACCCCATCGTTGACTTATTTTTTTTTTCAAATTTTTATGCGATTTCGTTTACCTGTCGTGACACTCAACTTTTGTCGTTCGCCCTCCCTGCTGCTATAAATTAAACAGCCAGTATAGATATTATTAATAAATGAATATTGGAGAACCACGTTTAGCTTTCTTAGCTCGAGGGCGACAACAATACAACAAATACCGGAAGACGCTGAAGCACCAGCCCCTAAATAAGAGTCCTGCAATAAGTAATGCTGAACTGTTAAATTAATTTAATGAAGATAGTGTTAAAGTAATTAATAACATTAAAGACCCATGACAATTGGCTGAATTTATGAAACCGGAACACTCTGAATATATTAAAAACAGTGACCAATGGCTAGATGTATTATATCGCATACGTACGGATGTTGAACGAGTTAGATCTTATGATCCATTATATCAGGAATATGTTAGTGAAATTAATAATTTAATCAAATCAAGAAAAGAAGAGAGAAAAAAAAACAAAGCAAAAAAAGAAACAAAAACCTCCAAAACAACAACAAAAAAACCCACCAAAACCATTTGAGTAAGCACTTCGTGATTATCCAGAATTACCAAAAACACTATCAAAACCAAGTAAAACAACACCACCAAAACCAAGTAAAGAGGAAGAAGAATTTCAAAACGCTCCCGGGACAACTGGAAGTGGTCTAGGAAGTGGCTTTATTACTTGTCCCAATATTATCCTTGCTGATGTTGATCGACTAGAAATCCTCATCAGGGGAAAACGAGCTGGAAATATTTCCCCAGAAATCATTAATCATGCAGCTGATATTTATAAACGATTATTTACAGGTGGAATTATGGATATTAATGTATATCGGTCCCTCATTAATGAAATCGCCTATGACTACTAAAGTGATTAAGTCACTGGACTGAGAATGTAATTAAAAAAGTTATTATAATAAAATGATCGTACATAGCACTCAAAGTGGACCAAACATGGTCAGGGCAGTAAATTCTCGATTACCAGTATACAAAACAACCTACGGAGATGGACTCGGTGATGTTGTTCAGGCTTTGTTTAGAAGGATAGCCCCAAAAGCAATACCGATTCAAAGCAACTGGGAATGAAAGCTATTGATGTAGTTCGTGAAAAAAGGATTGATGCTATTGGTGATATTGCTAGTAAAGCATTCTCAGCAATGAAAGATAGACTAGCACGATTAATACGACGAAAACATCAACCTGTAAAATTACCTAGCATTGAAGTGATGCCCGCAAATGTAAGCAAAATAATAAACCAAA